TTGAGACCTATGCCCAAATGGAGAGGCACAAAAACTCTACCAAAAATTTGCAATATCTTCAAGACGATAAAGAGAAACTACAGAAAACGGCAGCAGGGGAACAATTCTTTGCAATGGTTGTTATAGATGTTTGGGTCAAGATTTGCTACTTTCATCAAAAACCTCAAATATTAGAAGAACAAGGCTACAACTATTTGATAAAGATCAGTTTGTTACTTTGTAAGAAATGAAAAATATCACAGGACTTGAACTGGATCTGCTTCAAATTTTACAAAGTAAAGGAGGCTGCTACAAAAATCACATTGAAAGCCACAGGTCACAGGACACTAAAAATGTGAACAAAGTTTGTATAACAATTTACTAATAAAGGCCCGAGCCTGCAAAGAAATACGGCACATGTATAATTTGACTTATCCAAGTAGTTAATTCAATGAGACTTCATACAACTAGAATAAAAAAGGGTGTAATATGTATGGCTGGACAGAAAACATTTCCATCTCATGAAACATTTTGAGGTTTCAAAATCTTTTCATGCCCAGTGTAGAATGAAAATCAAACCTTCCAAAGTTAGGGATCAGTTAAATTAACAATGTCTTAAATGTTTTGCTGTTGCCACTCTACTTTCAATTATTTATTATATTTAAGCATCTAGCCCCAATTTTCTTTTACATAGTCACTTACTAAACTCCACAGAATGTTTCCATAAAATTGACCAATTACCTTAATTATTTAATGCTATACCCCAGAAGTCACCAACCAGTAGATCAGGATCTACCGGTAGATCTTGAAGCCTCTGACAGGTGATCCTGTCTAGTTTGGCTGGGAAGCTATCAAGTGCCCCTCCCACACTGCCCTGCTTCTCCTGACCAGAGCCTCAGAGCTGCTCCCTGGGAGCCTCCTGCTTGTTGTGCAGGGTGGGGGACACAGAGGCAGGGGGGCGCTGATGTTAGTCTTTTCCCCTCCCCTGTATTTCATCTTAACAGAGTAAGGAGGGCGGGGCCACAGCAAAGAGGTGGGGGTAGGAGCAGGGCTTCGGAGATGGGGCGGGCAAGGGTATTTGGGTTTCATGTAGATCCTGGACTGACAAATTCAAAAAGTGATCTTGTGCTTAAAAAGGTAGGAGACCACTGCTGTACCCCCATTCTGCTTTGTGGAGAAGAAAGGTATTTCTGATGTCTGATCACTTTGTATATTTCTAGCTGATATAATGACCATTATAGTTAATGTAAAGCTCTCCAGCAATTTAAACTGGCACTGGATCAGAACCAAATAAAATTATCTGTAACAAAATTACTTGATATGGTAACAACAAAGGATAATAACTTCTTGGGTCAAATGAAGAAAGAAAAATGGTTTAGTGTAGGATAGGAAGATATCAGTAGGATTAAATGGGAAAGTCTATAAAACAGTGACCCATCCAGTTTTAATGTATGGAGCTGATCATCGAGCAACAAAAAGAAACATGAGCAAAAGATCTGTTCCCCGGGCATGGTCATGTTGAGAGGGAGGAGTAGAGTAAGCAAGAAAGGCTACATAAGGACTGTGTATGCTTGATACTTCCTCAAAGTAACACCCATAAATGAAGAAATGAGGGAGCCCAGACAGAACTGTGCTTTATATGGTCCAACTACCAATGATGTGGGTAGGCGAGTCCAAGAGATTGTGGTTCAGGGAAGAAGACAGAGAAGCCAGCCCAAGAAGAAGTGGTGGGATGTCCTAAATGAAGGCATGTGGCATGACAGAGATGGCTAGAACTCTGCATGGATAGAAAAAGGGGGATCCGCATCCGCTGGTAACAACGTGCACCCGATCCACAATCCGCTCCACTGCTTTTCTGTGTATCCGCATCCGCACCATAGCAGCGGCAGGCGGTTCACGGTGCCTCGCTCACAGGGAAAGCGTCCGGATGGGTGTGTGTCTTAGGGGGGCTTGTCCTGCTCTGTTCCTCCAGGGGCTCTCCCTGGGGAGCACGGTCAGGACACTCCTGCAGAGGAGTGTGGGCAGGGTGCTTTGTCCCACTACACCCCACCAAGTGCTCCGACCAAGGAGCAGGACAAGCACCCTGCACCAACCCCAATTCCCAGTAGGAGTGCCTGGTAGGGCAAAGCCTGACAATCATCCTGATGGTGTTAGGAGGTGCTGGGGGAAGGGGAGAGGAGAAAGGGCACAGAGCACTCAGGAAAGGAGGCTTAATTGTGAAGGGAAGAAGCAGGTAGGTGGGCCTGGGATGGAGCAGGGATGGAAAGAGGCAGGGTGGAACACTGGGGGAAGAGGTGGCATGGGGGACCTGGCCAGAGCCAGTTGGGAGCACCCCTGATAGATTAGAAACTCAGTGCTTATGTCCCAAGCTTCACATCTCTCTAGGGACATTAGCGCCGTGACGTGTGGTTCCAGTGATTTCATCCCTTGTTTATCTGAATGTAGAAGCCTTTGCTTTGGTCAAGATCAGCATATCTCCTGTAGTTCAAAAGACAAGGTGGCTGTGAGGGAATACCAGCATCACTTGCATACTTCCAGCCTCCTTGTCCTGACTGTTAAGACCAAAATGCAAGTGTAAAAGAATCCAACATTTTTCATGAGAACCAGAGCCATATCCCTTAATCACCTGCTTCTCTTCATTCAGTCATATTCTCCAATTAGCAATGCTTTTTCTAAGCTGGTTTCCCTGAAAGTTATACAGTTTTAATCACATTATTTTCCTTATAGTCCAAGTAATAGCCACTTTTGGGAAGCTGAACCAGAAAACATATCAATTAGTTCATCCTTACCATCTCCCTGTGAGGGATGCTTTATCATGCTGTAGAGGTTAGAAACTTCTGAACTTACAACGTCTTTGAGATGCATCCCCATGGCTCAGCAAACACACCAAAAATAGACTTCTCAGTGTGATCCCAGACAATGCAGCAAGAATCTGGCATTTTTGTTATATTTGGACAAATTAATTTTAAAATATAAATAAAAATGTGGCAAGAATGTTTATCCCTCACAGGTCAGACTCTGAATAACAAGCAACAATATCTCAGGATCTCAGGTCAGGAAATACTATACCTCAATAAGAACAATACGAATTTAATTGCACCCTTTACAACAGAGTCAAACTCGCTTTGCAAAATAATAAAAGCTACAAATAATTACTATTGGTTTGCTATTGTGGATAAATCCCATTACTTCAATAGCACTATTTATTATAGTAACCACTGCGCCCAGTAGGCAATGTTTGCAGAATGGAGCTCTATAACAATTGTAATAATCAAAAGTTAGGAAAAGTCAAAGCAATAGCAATCAAGTGACAATTGGTATCTCAATAGCTGGCTTACTAATAAACAAACAGTGAAGGCTGTCCAGACAGGAAGGTAGGTATTCAGGCAAAGAAATGCCCATAAAATGATAGCTCTAATTTCAGAAACCCCAGAAATCAGACTAAAGACAGAGTAACAGCAAAGAAACAATAATCACCATTTTAACAGGGTAGCACTGAATTATTGCACTGATATTCAGTATGGTACTTGCCTACAAGAGAAGGCAGGAGAAAAATACAAACATGAAAATCTTCATGCACAAAAACAAAACAAAAATCAATTAAACTGAATAGAAGTTCAAGTCCACAAGAATGAATATTTCCCATGATTATTGAACTTTCATTCTTTAGGATTATGACACCAGACATCCTAGAACACTTTCAGATAGAGATTACTCATTAATGGGCTAATCCACCTTTGATGGGCAAATGGAACAATACACAGACTGTCTTGTCTACATAATTGTACTATGTGACAAAGTGAGGGAAGTGTTGACAGACCTATAAGATCACATGTATTCCCTTCTCACATAGAACAGTGAAATCTTTCCAAAACCCTATAGGTAGGTATTCACATAACTATGTCACAGTGTGTAAAGTTATTAACGGAATGGTTTGGTGAGTCAAGGATTAGGACTGTAACCCAAGAATCCTGATGTTCATTCCTCTTCTCTCATGACTAGAGAACTTATTCCTTCAGTTATAGGATACAGTGTATGTTAAAAGCATCCCTGTGCTGTCTGCCAGCCACTGAAACAGCAACTATTCAACCCTCCAAATGTGAATAATGTGTGCATGGAAATGTGTACTCCAGAAAAACAAAACCACTGTCTCATTACATTCAAACAGTCCATACACATTAGTATCATTAGTCCCGACACACCTCTCCTAAAAAGCACTGTGGTGTGGTTCCTGATTTAAAACAGGGCAAGGGTTACAGTCAAGCTTTTATATTTCCTAAATATAAGAACCAGCTTCTCAGCTGGTGTAAACTATCACCCCATTGAAGTCAATGGAGCAATGACATTTGATGCAGGCTGAGGATCTGCCCGTGTGCATCCATTTACATATAAAACATCACAGTGACAAACATAAGAGAGAGCCCGAAAGAAGGGATTTTTATCTCTTCAAGATCCTCAGAGCAAAATCTTTAGCAAGCCCATGAAATGTACTCCAGTTATCTCCAGCTTTGCTACTGTTGAGACATATTCCCTATTTCTTACGTTGAGACCTGTAAATCAATACTTTACATGTCTGATGTTGCCCAGTGAAAGGATAGGTCACTCATCACACACAGGCAAAACAGACTTGACACCAGATAAGGGGGTGGGGAGAAACCAGTGTAATGGCTGTACGGCAAAACTTTCATTTACAACCACAGCTTGGAATTTATTAGATACCTTTCTAAGGGCCAGATTCTGATCCTCTCATTCATGCATATCTTGTGGGATGTCCCAAGGAAATTGATGGGACTTCTTGTCTAGCAAAGAATTACTCAGGATGAGAGATAATAATACGAATCTGAATACCCTAAACTAAGGATATACCTGCATAAATGAAAGGTGAATGAAGAGAAGAGCTTCATGCACACACGGAGTAAATATCTGACAGTGTGCACACACAGAAAATACATACACACACACTTACACTTTTATTATTCAATTTTCTTCTTAACAAGAGTTATAAGAGAAGACGACAATACCTCTGTATAGTGCATTCCCTCCTGAGATCCAATATTCCCCTTTATGTCAATGTCTGGGTCAAAGCAATCTGTCAGCAACCATAAATCCACTGCATAGACTGTGTTGCTTAAGTGTCCCAAGTATTAGAATTCAGGAGGAGGGTGTCCGTTTATAAAAATGATCACTCTCTCCTCCCCTTTCTGACTTCTTAGACTAATTGTGCTGCATGTTGCACTATTTCTCCCCTCTCTCTCTCACTCTCGCTCTCTGATGTGGTGCTGCTTGTAGCAAATAGATCTTATCACATGAAACTCTCAGTTTCTACAGTGTCCATCCCCCATCTCCTTTCCCTTCGGCTTTTTCCCAATCAGCTTCCTAAAGGACCAGTGACATCTGCAGAGAAAAAAAAGAATCCTGCTAAGGTACTTATGAATGAAGGAGGAGTGTGACTCAAAGACTTGTAAGAGCAGATAGAACTGTATAGATCAACAAAAAAATCACATGCTGGGAATGACAAAGTCCCTCCTGTGTAAATCAGAGACCATAATAATAATCCTATGTATTGTCTCAGCCACAAAAATTAAGAATGCTTTAAAAGTTTAAGGATTAGAGCAGGGCTACTCAACATGCGGCCCACGGCCCATTTGTTTGTGGCCCGCGGTGCGGTTTGGGTTTATGTGAGTCTCAACACGCAGCCCACGGGTAGGATCCTTTGAACATGGCTTCCGCTGGGAACACGCTCCACAACGGCAAGGGGTCTCCCAGGTGTGGTGAGCATTAAAAGATGCAAGCGGACGGGCTGGCTGGAACAGACGGGTACAGGGTATCGTGCTTCTACCCCCCAGGGAGGAGGTGCTGGGAGCACCAGGGCATCGTGGGAAGTGCTGGCTGCTAAGCCTTGTGGGAGGAGCCAGAGAGGTGCTGATTGGCTCACGCTGGCCATGTTTGGGTCCAGAGCGTGGCTTAAGGCTTAATCTTTGTATTCATGCCCATCCGTGTGAAAGAAGCGATTTGCATACATTTGCTTATATATTTGCATGTATATGCAACCACACTTAAATTGCAGCCCTCAGCATGTGCTGTGAGTATCATTGTGGCCCCCGAGGCTTCCAAAGTTGAGTAGCCCTGGATTAGAGGTTTCCCCCCCTCAACATGTAATGCTTCACCTATGGGCTGGAAAACATCCTCACTCCCAAAAGGCTTTTTATTGTTATTAATAGAGATAACTGTTGCTAGTCTGTTTCATTGATGTTTCCCCCTCCACTGATTTGCAAAATTGTATAGAGCTTTAAAATTCAGGACTTGGCCCTCTGCTTGCATAGACAACGGAAAGATGACTGTTTGTAGTAGTGAGGATCTGGCCCTCAGCAACCACTGAAGAAAATTTTCAAGTGAAGTGTCTGTGTAAAATGTAAAATCATGAAATCTCGGTGTCAACCCCAATCTTCAATCAGAATAGAGACAGATTTTTTTCAGGAACCTGCAATGGCCTGACCTGCCAAGTCACTTAGCATTAGCCACTGTAAGTTAACATCTGACAGCAGGTTAGGGTGTGCTCTAGCGTGGTGTACCTATATTGGAAGGATGCTGACCACAAGAAACATTTTATATGCTCTCTATCTTTGGACTAATTATGTCACCTCTCAGCCAGAGGCTAGAATTGAAGAGACTGCAGACGTCACAGAGAGATTTTCATAAAATACAAAACTCAGTGTGTTGATTTTTACACTGTGATCCAATTTTTTTATTTCTATTTAACAGAGACTTCTTCCTTCTTCCCTTGTTTTGAAAAGAAAACCTGAATTTCATTTGCCTCTTGCTTTTCTAACCTGAAAAAAGAAAGGCTCCATCATGTAGGTAGGAAGATGTAGAAATTGGAAGAAGATTAAAAGGAAGAAACGAGCTGGCAAATTATATTCTGAAATCAGACAGCTGCCCTTCTTAGCCTGAGGCAGAGATGGAGAATAGAGTACTACTCTGGATGTTGTTTCTTGATGGTTAAATAAACAGAGAAGAAGCAAAGGGGGCATGTTTAAGACAATATAATCAGAAAAACAAGACAACTAGGATAGGAGAGCATGCCCTGAGGAGATCATGCACCTTACAGTGCATTGAAGGCTTAACACAAACACAGTAGTAAGTATCAGAGGGATATCTGTGTTAGTCTGTGTACACATAAACAATGAGCAACTTAAAAACTAAGGGCATGTCTACCCAGCAGTGTTATTTTGGAATAACTGATGCTATTTTGAAATAACGTAGAGCACGTCTACACAGCAAGCCGTTATTTCAAAAGAATTTCAAGATGGAGGACTTCTTACTCCAAATCCTGTAACCCTTATTTCACAAGGAGTAAGGGACGTTGAAGGACAGTGTCAAAAGCCGAATGAAGCTATTGTGACTTAAGCTACGCAATTGACGTAGCTGAAGTTATGTATCTTAATTCAACATTTACCCTGCAGTGTAGACTAACAGATTTATTTGGGCATAATCTTCCATGGGTTTTTCAGGACTCCACATTGTTTTAACACTAACAGTGATTTTCAGATGAAGAATTCAAACTGTTTTACAGAAAAAGATATCGTCATCCCCATTTTTACAGGTGAGGAAACTGAGGCACAGAGGGGGAAAGGTCAACCTTTTCAAAGGAAGCTATTAATTCTCAGTTGCTTATGGGTAGCCAGGGCCTGATATCACAACTCCTGGTGCCAGTGGAGCTCTGGGGTGTTGAAGTTCCAGATGCTTCATAATTAGTCATGTCCACGCCCACCAATGGGGGAAGAGAGGGCAAAGGGAGCAACTGCCCTGAGGCCTGGTGATTCAAAAAGGCTGCCGCTGCCACTACTGCCACAGCAGCAGTAGCCAGAGCCCCAGGCAGAATGCTTCAGATGGTGGGGGGGCATGGTCCAGGAGGCACTGAGGGCTGGCTGACCTAGCTCCACCCTTTCTGCTTGAGGTTCCACCCCTTTTCAGAAGCAGGGATCCAAATAAACCAAAGGTCAGACATTAGAATGCTCATAAAACTGGCTGCCCTCCAGCCTGCTCACCCTGAAAACAGATATCACACAGCAAGTACCTCTCCCCATGCACAGACCCTTGGGGAGAGAGCACCAGACGGGATGGCTCAAGAGCTTAAGGAAGGAGTATTTCAAATGAGGATGAGGGGCAGAGTCTAGACTGGAGGAGGACCAAAAAACAGTGGTAGGAGGAGAAGCCTTGGAAAAAGTGGGTGTATTTATGGCACCAGTTTGACTGTGCTCTGAGTGAAGTAAAACTTCCTTTTGTTTCTTTTAAACCTGTAGCCTATTAATTTCATTTGGTGACCCCTAGTTCTTATGTAAATATATTTTCCTTATTCACTTTTTCCACACCAGTCATGATTTTACAGACCTCTATCATATCCCCCTTAGTCTTCTCTTTTCTAAGCTGGAAAGTCTCAGTATTTATAGTCTCTCTTCATATGGCACCCGTTCCAAACTCTTAATCATTTTTGTTGCCCTTTTCTGAACCTCTTCCAATGCCAATGTATCTTTTTCGAGATGAGACGACCACCCCTCTATGCAGTACTCAAGATGTGAGCATCCCATGGTTTTATATAAAGGCAATAAGATATTCTCTGTCTTCTTCTCTATCCCTTCTTTAATTATTCCTTTCCACTGCTGTGGAGACTTAGCCCCTGAGAGACTCAGTCCCTGAAAGATCAGTACTTCTTACCAATAGCAAGACCAGCTATCTCCACGCACACAAATGTGAGTTGGGCAGAAAGGTGCCTCACATGCATGTGGGCAGAAGTATTCTCTCCTTCATCCCATTCCCCTGCCACTGGTGCTAACCATTTCACCTTCCAGCCCCAAGAAGGGGCTTCCCATTCTCTGCTGCTCTCAAACCACCTGCCATCCCCCGATATGACTCACAAGATGTCCAAAGCCCACAAAATCCTATTTTAAACATGTTACAGTTACCCAGCTATCCCATTTCCCTATCCCAAAATGGCCAACAAGTGGGGGTGGGGGCTATTGGTAGTTTCTAAACAAAGGAATTTTCTTCCATTGCAAAATGCAGGTCTTTTTAATTGCTAAAGCAAAAGACAGGGCTAGAGGGAAAGCCACATTTTTGCCTCATACTTCACATCACCCCACAAAGGCCTTTTTTTTAAAGAATGCAACTAAATCCATTCATGAAATATAGCAAAGTCTGTGCTCATTGTTTCAATAGCAGCATTATGTGGTTTACATAGTGCAGCAGATATGACCAATTAAAGTAAACATCGTGTGTCAGAGGTAGAAAAGTGCATTACGTGACAGATGCATGTAAAATATGTTAATTCACAAAGTCACATGAAAAAATGTGAAGGCTTACTGTTTCACATACACAAGAAGTTGGGGTAGCACACGATGATTTTGCAATTTATACAGTTTTGCTACACATGATTTTCTGCAGTGAAACAGCCTCACCCACAAATGACTTTACATGCATGTTGCTTTTATGGCAAACCCACCATCTCTCATTCAGAAATACATTCCAGAATTAGTTATACAGTATGCACAGGGCCAGGCCATGTGAATCACAAAATAGTACATTGTGTTGCGTGACAAACAACAATATCACTAAGCTTAGATTGCTCTGTGCTGGGCCATATCTTACAGCAGGAAAAGCCTGTTAACCGTGTCATGAATTCTCCTAATGTCTAATGGCGTTACTTCAGAAAACATTTTGGTCATTAATACTTTATCTTTCCCCACACATTAGAAGGGAGAGCTGATGTCCCAGAGGAAGTACTTTGGATATGTTCCCAAGCTACTCTGCCAGTATTTCTGGTGAATCATCCAGGAAAATAGCCTTGTTGATTATTTGCCTGGATGGCCTTTAAGACCTCCTTTCTCTGCCACTTTTGGGATCCTTCAGAGAGGTGCATCCTCCAGGGTCACAACTGCCTGAAATCATTAACTTTCTCTACTAAATATGTTGTCCTTTTGTGCAGAACCTGATTTTTCCTCCTTCCCTCCAGCCTTATCTTGCCAGTAGAGGGATTTCAGCAAAATGCTGAACATGCAGAGCAATGCGAACACCACACACCATCCAGAGGACTTACAGATGGTTCTCACCTAAAAGAATTTTAGTAGATGCTACATATTTCCAAGGGGGGTGGAAATTAAGGCTTTGAAATGCTGAAGTCTACTGTGTAATGCACATCTCCTCATAACTAACATATCTCTGTCATGCTCTTTGGAGTGGTCCACAACTGTGAGTGCCTACCTTAGGG